TCATTCTTTCCATTATTTTATTTTCTCAAAAACATTCCATTCCCTTTCTCCAAGTTCTAAGAAATGTGACTTTCACTAAATTCTTTGCTCTCTTTCTCCAAGTTCTATGGCTTTCTTTCTCTCAATTCCAAGAGCATCATTAGCTCTTCTTCCCTAAAGAGGCATGCAAATCAACATGTGGAAAGCCTCCACCAAATTTCTGCAAAGGTTTGATTCCCTCCTTTCTTTTCTTTTTTCTTTTTTTTTTTTTGTGTGGGTTTCTGAAAATTGACACACTAAGATTTTTAACAAAGGTATTTAGTAAGAATAGTTATTATATTGAATCATAATTAAAATAATTTATAAACAACAAATATTGAACACCCACAAAATTATTATTCTTAATAATGTCTTGTTAGTGATTGAATTGAGTCAATTTAAAACTAACTTTTACACTAATGTATAATTCAGATAGACTGTAGACAAAATTAATTAATAAATTTTCTTTAAAGAATAATTGAAAGATAGGTTTTTACATGATTGTTCAAAAGGTGTACATTGAAATTTTTTATTCTTAAAAGATGTGTATAGATAATTTTTTCATATAATATTATGGGTGTTATTGAATGTCTATTATGGTCATTTTTATTTAGGATATAATTGTTATTAAACTAATATTTTATTATGTATGTGTCTTGAGCTAATTAGGTGTATGGAATAGAATTTTTTCATTTTGAGTCATATCATCTCTCACATTTTTTACATATGAAATGACAAAAAAAACTAAAAAAAATCAAAGGTCAACTTTTAACTAACTTCCCAAATCACCCCTTAATTTTTTGTACTAGAGATGGATAAAATAAAAAGAATAAATTATATTTTGCCCCTTTCACGTTAAATATTTTTTTCATTTTGATGTTTAAAATTTATTTCACTTTAACCCACTATACTTCAAGGTTTTTTTTCCCCACTTTACTCCTAGAATTAATTTATATTAAAAATTAGACAAAAAAATGATATTGACAATTGCGTAATATAAAAATATTTTATTATATAATTCATACATTTGACATAAACTTAAATTTTAATATAATAATATATTTTATATATTATGTGACAGTTATTATGACATTTTGTGTCTAATTTTTAACAAAGAGTAGCTTTAGGGAAAAAAATTTAAAAAAAAAAACTTAAAACATGAAGGGATAAAATGAGAAAAAAAATAAACGTTCAGGATCAAAGTGAAAATTTGACCAAACATAAGGGAGCAAAATGTAATTTATTCAATAATAATAAATAATTAAAAAAAAAATTGAAGAAAAAAACGGAGCAAACAAAGCCAAGAACGAACGGTGTTGATAAAAACAAAGCAATTGATCCAAAAACAAAATAAAAAATAAATAAATAAATAAATAAAAGACACACACACACACCTCAACAAAGCATAAATTTAAAGAAGTTCTATTTCTCCCGCCCAATTTAACAAACTAACTGTAAGCAACTAACCAACCAACCAACTCCCTCCATTTCTCTCTCTATACATACATACGTTCGCATCCTATCTCTATATCCACTGTACTGTTATGGCTGAGCTAGGGTTTTGTTACAATCGAACAATGATGATGATGTTGTTGTTGTTGTTGTGGTGGTGTAGGTTTTCTGGTTTGTTGACCTAGGTTTTTGGGGAAGATGGCCGACGGTGCTCTGGGGAGTCCCGGCGGTGGGAGTCACGAGAGCGGCGAGCAGAGCCCTAGGTCGAACGTTCGCGAGCAGGATAGGTACCTCCCGATCGCCAATATCAGTCGGATCATGAAGAAGGCGCTTCCGGCCAACGGGAAGGTCGCTAAGGACGCCAAGGAGACTGTCCAAGAATGCGTCTCGGAGTTCATCAGCTTCGTCACCAGCGAGTATGAATTTGATTTGATTTCTAATTATCTAGATATAGATGTTCATTAATGAAAGGTATTTGGTGACTGAATTTGAAGGGCGAGCGATAAGTGTCAGAGAGAGAAGAGGAAGACGATCAATGGGGATGATTTGCTGTGGGCAATGGCGACTTTAGGGTTTGAAGATTATATTGATCCTCTCAAGAAGTACTTGACTCGATACAGAGAGGTGTTTTTTTTTTTTTTTTTTCACTTTTTTTCCATGTGTATAGATGTTTGATTTGTATGTCTGTTTGAATAACATTATTGTTTTTTTTTTTTGGGGTTCTGTTCGGGATCGAACGGCATGTTGCAGATGGAGGTATGTATATAATTGTTTATGTGTGATTTTATGTATAGTCTGTTGGCTTCTACAAAAAATTTAGTTTTTAAAATTCCGAATTTTGCTAGGGTGATACCAAGGGATCAGGGAAGGGTGGGGAAGGGTCTGGTAGAAAAGATGGGGTTCATCCGGGTCCAAATGCTCAGGTACATAAATTTTTGGAGTATCTTGTACAATGTTCTGTTTGTAGTGACGGAAATGTTTCATTATGCATCTATGTGGCTGCTTTGATTGATAGTCATAGCTTGTCTTACCATGCCATTCTCCTACGTGATTGTCTGTACAGCTTGCGTATCAAGGTTCATTTTCGCAAGGCATCAATTATGGAAATTCTCAAGTAAAAGCTCTAGCTCTCTCTCTCTCTCTCTCTCTGCACACATGGATATAGTCTATGATGGCATCCTTAATGCATTGTTGATGAGGAATTCTTAATTACTTTCAGTGTGAAATTTTATGCATGGTAAAGTCAATACAAGAGGAAAATTTTGTGGTTGGATGGTGGGTATAGGTAAGGCCTTAAAAAGGAGAGTAGAGAGGTGCAAGCAGCTGTTGGTTTGTTTTTGGAGATGTGAGTATCTGGATCACCTTTGCTATGTAGTGAGCCTCAAGGGCATGATGCCATTTCCAATTCAAGAAATACAGTTCTACATGGCAAGCCCTTAGGGTGCCACGGCACTTCCCAAATGTATTATTGGGCTCATGTCAATTTACGTGGTATAGCTCGGCCTACTAATGCACTCGACACCTTAGCTGCATGTCAATGCACTAAGCGAACGATTCAAAGCATGGGGAACTTTGAGGCATGGCCCAAAGCCTCACTTGGTCACCCCCACTTGGTAGCAGTGTGGCTTGGTAGGCCATTGGCCATGATCCTCCCATGCCCTGTTCACATAGGGCATCCCAAGGTGCAATCAGGAGTACCACTTGGTGTAGCTGAGGTGCCTCTGATCAGCCATCCCTACTTAGAAGCATGGTTTGGTGCACCCCCTCCTAGCTCATCTACGCCTTCCCTATTTTCTTCTACCCTCTAGTGGAGACTTCTATAACAACCATTACCACTATTACACCACTTTGGATTCTTAGGCTAGGAGCAGGGCCTAGGCACCCAACATTAAAGATTGTTGAAGAATTGTGGCTTGGCGGCTAGAATTATGGGTTTGTCCAGGTTCGCTTCTCCCAAAATTGGGAGCAACCTCATCTTGGCTAGCTGGTATGTAATCGGTTCGGCATAGTCGGTATTTAGGTAAAAAAAAATCATCAAACTAATAATGTCGGTTTTATTATTTTAAATAACGATACATACATACCGTTTCACCCATCAAATCCCACCGAACTAAACCGATTGACACGGTTTAGTTCGGTGTGGTTTAATCGGTTTAGAACATTTCAAATTTGAGCAACTTTTAAATATAATTACTAATCTATATTGAAAAATCTAGAAATCCCCTAGATGTTGAATAGCCTCACTGAAATAAAAGTGCGAAAATAAACACATCTGAAAGGAGTTTTGTCAAACGGGGTTGCCAAGAATAAAAACCTAACATATATAAAAACATTAAATTAGTTATTCATCCACCATTTCAAACATAGCCAATCTAATCCATCCATTTAATAAATACTTTTCAATTCCTAGATCAACAAAAATAAAAACAATAAAAAAAAGTTAAAAAAATGCTAAAGTTTCAAGAATAATGAGTTAGAGTTAAAGATTATATATAATAAGAGTTTACAAACTTAGGTTATAAAGATGATATGGTTAATTAATTAAGGTTAATAATTTGTTATACTTATTAATATTATTATATTATTAAATTATATATATTATAAATATAATATATGTTGAAGCGGTCGGTTTCAGTTTAATTCGGTGCACAAGGTGCTTGAATCGATACCAACCGAAAATCGAAAAAAATCAAGTTTAAAAACCGCACATACCGCTTCTTGTTAAAAAAACCGACCAAATATAACCGGTTTGGTCCGGTTCAATTGGTTTGGTCAATTTTTTCAATTTTTCTTACATTCCTATTGACCAATCTTAGAGAGAAGGGCACAAACCTATTGGAAATTCCATCATTGAAATTAACTTTCATTTGTTAATCGGTGGTGTTTCAACTGCTAGCCACCATCTTTAAAGTACATCATTGGCATCACAAGGAAAAAAAATTATGACCTTTTAGGTAGCAATGTTGAGCTAAGATACTTGATGTTAGTTAAATATTAGGGTGTTGCGTCCTAATTGATGCGAGATCCACGTCAAGTTGTTAGTGGAGTAATTAGAATTTTATTAGGAGTCTTTTTTTCAATTATGTTGTCATATTTTCTTCTATTAGACATTTTTGGGATGAATTTGTTACCATAATTATAGTTTTTTGTAGGGGATTTAGCAGGAGATCCCATACATTGGATATGTATAATATTAAGTCTTATCTATTTTCTTATAACCCTTTTTATCCTTAGATATTAGATATTATAACCCTTTTTATCTATCTTCTCTGAATTCTCATCTTCTCCTGTATATATATATATATATATGTATAACTTCTTTTATTGAGAACACTCTAAGAGCGTTGTGGTTATAGGCGGATTTGCAGCAGAGACCACATTTTTGGGGCAATGACAGCAAAATGTCTCCGTATCTAATGGTGGGGAAGAAACAGAAAGAAAAGGATGAGAAAGGAAATAAGGTAAACAAGAATGAGGGAAAATATTAGTATGAATATAATCGTGTCAAACATAATAAATAATGATAAAAAGGTAATAAAAAATATACTATACTGACTCTGGAAATACACCATCTAATCCGTCCTTCCATTTTGTCCCTAAACCCATTCTTTCCATAACATTAGATAAGAAAATATCAGTTACATGGTCATAGGCCCTTTCAATGTCCAACTTACAAATGACTCCTGGAGACCCTTCAATCTAGAGTTGTCCATTTCATTAGCCATCAAGACTTCATCAAGAATCTGTCTACCCCACAGGCATTTTGGGTGTCGGAAATCACACTACCAACTACCTTCCTCAAACGCATGGCTAGAACCTTAGCTATTAGCTTATGAACAGACCCCACCAAGATGATGTACCTCAGGTCTTTCTTCATTCTGTAGAACTAATCCCTAGGTGTAAATTGTTTGGAGGATACCAACGTTTTAGACTCTAAAAAAGTCCCTTGAAAAGCAAGTGAGATTGTTCTTATGTCTGCTTTTATTGTGAGTAGTGAGTACTTGCAAAACGTGGATTTGCATATTTTCAAGGAAAAAGAAAAAGAAAAAGAAAAAGAAAAAGAAAAAGAAAATAACTGATTCAATTACATGTGTTGTGGTTGTGGAATTTGTTCCCAAAGGAGATAAAAGGGTTGTCAGAGCAGTGAGCAATTATTTCCTTGGGTGGAAGTGGGGGAGAGAAAAAGCCTTATTTTGCATAATATTTATATTCACATAGTAGCCTTAGAAGAAGATGAAAGATGAGACTAATTTCGATGTCCATACGTTGCTGTGTGATGTCTCTGTGCACTGACACGGAAATAGATGGCTGTAGTACTTTTTTGTTGTGTAGGTTTAAGAAACTGACAGTATTTTCATACCAGTTCTAATTTTCATGATTTCCTTAAATTTTCTGGTTACTTATGATTTTGATGTCATCATCTCTTATTTTTTACAAGAGATAAATCATGCAATCCTTTAAAGGATTGAATGAATGAGACTATCATGATACTTTTTCCTGGTCGGATATGTCGAATCATTTTCTTTTCCTTTTCTTTGTGTGTGTGTGCAGTCACAAGCTCAACATATGATGGTTCACATGCAAGGCACCGAGTAGAATCTGTTCTGCAATTGTTTCCATCATTTAAAATCCTGTTCGAGGATATCATGTTTAAAGCTCACAACTCATTTTATAAGTATTGTTCTGATATAAACACTAACATTTTGTGGGTGGTTTTCGTGTTCTTGCATGTCCAGAATTATAATTCGGTGTGGTTTGTATATTATTAGTAGATTGATTATTTGCTGAGTATTGAGACCTTTTGTTGGATTTATTGAATACTTTTTTTTGGGTTAAGGACATGATATTTGGTGGTGAAGCAGATTGAGAAACTCGCATTATTTTATATTCCTTTCCACCTTATTGCCTTCTAGCCTTGTTTTGGGATGTGCCAAGATAATATCTGGACGGTGATTTTCTCCTTCTAACTTTAGGTTTCTATTTTCCCTCTCTTGTTTTTATAAATTTGCTATTATTTTCTTGATATGTTTTGAGTTGCAGTTTAGATGCGGGTCAACCACACTTGTTGCATTACATTATTGTGTTTGGCATTGCTGCTTAACTTTTCCGCAAATAATCTTGGTTGTCTAGATAAGAAAACTATTTGAACGGTGGAGGATTCTGTCTATAAATGATACCCGATATTTTGAAAACTAATTGACTGGTCACCACCATTCTTTAGTGTTAAATTATATGATTTCTTTCTTTGTCTAGTGGAAACCTTTCGTTGGGAAATATGCGAGTCAATTTCTGACTTTTTTTCCCAGTTTGGTTAAGTTTGTTTTTTGTGGGGAACAAAGGAGGAATAGCCAGAGTCATAAAGTAGACTTGGCCCTATATACTTTTTTGCTGCCTTTTCTGTGTTAGGCACCAATTTACTTTCCTTACCCTCTAAGTTGTGGACATTCATATGATAGATAGATAGTGCAATCTTGCATGTAATATTGCTTTCATTTTTCTAATGTAGTTCTACTGACTCAGCAGATAAATCTATTCAAAAGCATCAGCATCTCCTGCCTTTATAATTTTAGTGCTGTTAGTTAAAATCTTAAATTATCTTCTCTCCTTGGTTGTAATTGATGCGTAATTGGAATGCCACATGATCCCTTGTATCTAGGGGTGCTCGTGGACCGGATTTGGGTGTTAGCGGTTGGGTTTTGACCAGTTTGCATGTATGCGGTTTGGGAAAAAGTCAAACTGTAACTGCCCGCAGTACAATTTGCAGTTTGTGTGAATAGGGTTTGCAGATGTGCGGACGGTTTGCGATTTGGATTTTTTCTTTTAAAAATTAATTTTTGAATTTTTTTTTTCATTTTGTAAATATTTATTTTGGGTCATTTTCTTCCAATTTTTTAAAATGCTCCAACATTAATAATTAATAAATTAAAACTTATAAAATTAAAAATACAACAAAATCAATTCCTAATACAAACAAATCATTCAAAATCATTCAAAATTAATCTACTATCCAACAATACAATTAAAATAAAATCATTCAAAATTCTAACTAAATCATCAATTTCATTTTTCAATTACTTTTTCAACATTCTCTATCTACCTAAAAATAATTATTCGTTAACTATTACATTCGTCCAAAATGTAATAATAAAATGAAAAAAAATTGTTTTCAAACAAACTTTGTTAACTATTACATACATCCAAAATGTAAGAAAAAAATAAAATAAAATTGTTGTCAAATAAAATAAAAATATTTGCAACACAATATCTCAAACTCCATCATCATGAATCACATCCAAGTTTCAAAAATTTCAACTCCAAACATTTGGTTGATGAACCTTTCACAAAAACAAACTGAAAAATAATAAATTTAATCTTCAATCTTCATAATTCCTATGACAAAAAAAAGTGTAAAAGAATTAAGTAATAAAAAAATAAACAAATGTCTATTTATTGCATCTCAATATGGTAAAAAAATGTGTTGAATATATGAAAAATTTACCAATGAGCAAATGGATTAGAGTTCAATTATAGTATTAGCACCAACATTACAGGTTGAACTTGAAGATGCGCTGGACTCCAAAGTACTTAATTAGGAGTTAACAAGAGAAGATTAATAAAACTTACATTACAAAATGAACAATACAAAAAAAAAATGAAGATAAATAAATTCTCATATTACTCGAGTCATATTGCTCAAATTCCTCTACATCATCCAACGCCTTTTGAAGAGAAATTTGAAGGTTACTTCAAAGCCAATTTTGAATACATACAAGAGCTTCAACCATAAAAGGCGAGAGTGAACTACGAAATGAGTCAAGAATACACCCCCCGTACTAAAAGCCAACTCTGATGCAACAGTAGAAATAGGCATGGCCAACACATCCATTGCAAGTTGCAATAGCACTCCATATTTGGTTGTATTTACTTTCTAATAATCCAAAATCTCAAATGTTTGATTTTTTACAAAATGTTCAACTTCGGACAAATATTGTTCCAATTCCAACTTAGATCCACTAGTGCATCACCCTTCCAAATAGGAATTAAATTGGGAGTCAATCAAAGAATAAGGATCATCATCATTATCATCTTCCACCATATTCACAACTTCACTCACACTTGGAAGTTTCTCATTTGAAGGATAACGTGTGACATAATGGCTATACAAATGACTCAAACAACTCTTAACCTTGTCTACTATATCTTCCATCTTCTTATTATCTCCAAGAAATAAATTTGAAAAGCAAAACTTCACGTATGTCATTTTTTTGGTAGGATCAAGAACAACTGCAACATACAATAACAAATTGATCTTACTTCCATCCCCTCAATACTTGCTAAACTTTTGTTTCATAGTCTTTGTCATTGTGCTCATAGTATTATCCTCCTCCAAATTTAATTGGTTAATTTTGTTTTCAATAACAAACATTTCTTTGTAAAAAGCATTGAAAGTAACAATGCATGTGAATAAACTCGTGTTGCAAAATAGTCCCCTTTCAATCTTTGGTTATTGTTTTCAAATATTAAATGGTAAGATTATTAGAACTAGCATTATCAATTGTTAAGGTGAGTATGCTATCAATGTTCCACTCAATCAAACAGGACTCAAATTTTCCTACTCAATGTTTCTTCTTTGTGATCTTCAACTTGTTGAAAATTTATGATTCTTTTTTGAAGTTTTCAGTTATTATCAATGAAATAAGCAGTCAAATACATGTAACACAAATTTTGAATAGATGTTCAAGTGTCTGTAGTAAAGCAAATTCTACGACCCTTCATGGCCTTCTTTAACTTATCTTTTTTATTCTTGAATATGTTAAGCACTTCTCTAGATATGGTATGATGAGAGGGGATTAATATGAATTTTGGCTGCATGACATTACAAAATCTTCTAAACCTAACTCCCTCCACAAATCTAAATGACAACTCATTAATGACAACCATCTTCGGGTTCGGCTAAGGGGGGATTCATTTGAGAATTAGAAGATTCCAGAGGTAGAGGATTCACTGCGGAAGATTCAATAGTATCCTCCTTCAAACTGTACTACAAATTCAATTTAGATTCAAAAAAAAATTCAGATACAATTTCATTCATATTGAAAAAAAAAATCTGATTCAATTTCAATTCATATTCAATAACACCCACCCAGAGTAAGTAATTAACAGAGTAAAAAAATAGCAGAATTCAATTTAAAAAATAACAAAACAGCAGCAGAATAGCAAATTCAATTCAGATTCAAAAAAAAATCATATTCAATTTAAAAAATAACATAATAGCATAATAGCAAATTTCAGATTCAATCCACTTCTAAAATTCAAACGAACAAACAGACCCACCCACCAGATTCAGATTACAAAGATCAAAATTCCCAAAAAAATTAAACAAAAACAAAAACACAAACTTATCTAAACAAATTCAATTTTAAAAAATTCAAACAATTTCAAACAAAAGAGAGTGAGACCAATTTTAGAGAGAGAGAGACAGAGACAAAGATACAAATCACAGATCGGGGAGAGAGAGTGAGATAGAGAGAGCCTTACCTTAGAGTTGCTAAAGAGAGAAAATCGATTGCGAAGGTCGATTATCGCGTGCGAGCTGCGCAAATGAAAAATGAGAGAGAGATAAGAAGATGAAGGTCGATCGATGCGAGCTGTACAGATAAAAAACGAGAGAGGATGAGACAGATTTGATTGCCTAAAAAAAATACAGATCGGGAAGAGAGAACGAGACAAAGACAGAGATACAAATCACAGATCGGGGAGATAGAGCGAGATAGAGAGAGCCTTACCTCAGAGTTGCCGGAAAAAGAAAGTCGATTGCGAATGTCGATCATCACGTGCGAGCTGTGCAGATGAAAAACAAGAGAGAAATAAGAAGATAATGAGAGCTCTCTTTCAGTGCTCTCAGTAAGTCAATGAGATAAGAGAGTGAGATTAGGGCTTTGTTCTCAATTGGTTTTGTTTGGATTGGGGCAAAAAATATCATCTATGGATGGAATAGATGAACGGTCTAGCTATTTTCCAAAAAAAAAATAAATAGTGCGGGCGGTTGTGGCGGGTGCGGGTCAAATCCGTAACCCGAAAAATTGAAAGATTTCAAACCGCACCCTACCCTATTGTATTTATGAAACCGCCCATACGTGTGCAGGTAGGGTCGGGTATGACGGGTTGTGCGGGTCGGATAACCCTATGCCCAGCATGTATCCCTCTGTCCTAAACTCTCTCTATACTACACGATCAATATTGGAGAAATTTATCATGTGGTAGAGAGTGGATTTACGTGCGAGTTGCGCAAATGAAAAATGAGAGAGAGATGAGAAGATGAAGGTCGATCGATGCGAGCTGTACAGATAAAAAACGAGAGAGGATGAGACAGATTTGATTGCCTAAAAAAAATACAAATCGGGAAGAGAGAACGAGACAAAGACAGAGATACAAATCACAGATCGGGGAGATAGAGCGAGATAAAGAGAGCCTTACCTCAGAGTTGCCGGAAAAAGAAAGTCGATTGCGGATGTCGATCATCGCGTGCGAGCTGTGCAGATGAAAAACGAGAGAGAAATAAGAAGATAATGAGAGCTCTCTTTCAGTGCTCTCAGTAAGTCAATGAGATAAGAGAGTGAGATTAGGGCTTTGTTCTCAATTGGTTTTGTTTGGATTGGGGCAAAAAATATCATCTATGGATGGAATAGATGAACGGTCTAGCTATTTTCCAAAAAAAAAATAAATAGTGCGAGCGGTTGTGGCGGGTGCGGGTCAAATCCGTAACCCGAAAAATTGAAAGATTTCAAACCGCACCCTACCCTATTGTATTTATGAAACCGCCCATACGTGTGCAGGTAGGGTCGGGTATGACGGGTTGTGCGGGTCGGATAACCCTATGCCCAG